TTTTTCCTCATATACTTTCCTTCAAAATTTCCATGAACCAAACATAGCATAATAGTATATATAGAAACAAAAGGACATGCCAGTGACAAGAAAAAGCAGAAAACAAGTTTTAAAACTTACACAATAAGTGAGCTTCATTATTGAAAAAAGTCTTATAATATGATATAGCATAACGGAAATTAACTACTGTCTACAGTGGGTCACTAATACCATGGTTATACAAGCAGATCTGATAAATGAGTTAAACATAGGAAGGAAAGAGATATGCTGATGTCATAAAGCTTGTCTATGTAGCCCCAAAAGAATGTATGGTTTGGTCAACATCTAACATTGTGCAAGAAGGATAAACTTTGTGATTATACTGGGCACATCAATTGCATTCTAAAATTTAGGAACAGCATTGACTCATCAATCAAAACAACATAAATGGCATTGCTTCTACAACTATATGATTGGCATACCAATAACAAAACGGTTGCACAATATTTGAGAACTTCAAGATTCATGTGAACATCATCCAAGCTCCTGAGAAATCATAGCAAAAATATTATTCGAAGACCATGAAATGAAATAGAAAATAAACTAACTCTTTCGATACTCAAAGAGTTGAAGTATTACCTATGACTCTGCTTTCCAATACCAAAGTAGTTCACCAGAGTGGCCATCTGCACAAAAGTATAAAAACATAAGTAGGCAGCAATTAATGTCTTTAACCTACAATAACACTAAAACACAAGTATTGAACTGAGAGAACAGCCCCCAAAAAATTCATGACTGGGAGGGGTTTGAAAATAAAATCACAGGTTACTAAAGTTTTTCTGTGGCCTTACTGATCTTTTGTATGCCACTTACATATATTGAAAGTAAAACATGAACATATATACTTAGGTCCAACTCCTATCAATAACCAACAATTCCAACTGATTCATATACTTGTGTGAAGAGGAAACATGACAATGAAATTCCCATTTCCTGCTAAGATCTTTCCTTTAATTGATCTAATCCATATTCCAAGAAATGATCCAAAACAAAAGGCAAATTACTTTGTGTAAAATAAAATCTAAATTCATCTGATCTTTTGAATTTATCACCTTATTTCAAAATGAGATTGAGTATAGTGCCGAGGTTTCTAATGAAAAACATGTAATATTGGCAAGTATAGGTGTAGTAACACAGATACCTTCATGTCACCTGCTCTCCTTCCAAA